CAACAACTGACACTTCACAGAGCAAAAAAGTCCCAGTGATGCGATTCCTTCATTTCTCTGTCAGTGGTACCTAATGGCTTTTGCATAGACAAATATTTTATGGAGTTCAGGAATAAAATAAAGGAATAGGGTAAAAAAAAAGTTCTAATCTTAAAAAAAAAAAAAAAAGAAAATAGCATCTATGCTTAGAAAACATCTAACAATTATATGTAGCTCAGGGCTGAGTCTGCCATTCTGTTTGCCTGAGCATGAACGTTAAGTGTTAAGTGCAGCTATTAATGCACACACACAGAATATTCAGATCCCCCAACCCCAAAACAAGAACTTGAACACTGGCCTCCCTTGAAACCTGCATCCTGCTTGCCCTATGGAATGGTCTAACTTGCATCACCAGTCAGCAGTCTTTCCAGTTGATTTGGACTCTCAAAGAGGGAAGCTATATAAAGAATAATGAAAGAGTTGCCAGTCCTGTTCCGTTTTCAGACTCTATTGACAAAGAGAACAAGCTATAGTTTTGCCACTTAAATGACCAGAAAAGTGCAGTATCACTTAATCTGATTTAAACTGCAAAAGGCGCTCGCAGCTAATGAAGACAAGCTGATATATTAGCAGGTTTTCAGCAGGTGCGTGGTTCAGAGCAGAAATCAAATTATGACAGCCTTGACTATCAGGAAAGAAAAGTGTAGGCAGACCAATGTAAGAAATAAAATATATGTAGATATTTGCATTTCCTTTCTCATGGCATCCATGCCTGGAACTCTTTTTCTTATGTTTTAAGCCACTTTTTAAAATTTGGGAGCTTAGAGGCCTTGCAAATACCACCTCTGCCACTCCCCATCTCTACAAAGTTTCAGACAGAACAGCAAGCCGGAGTTAGAAGGTTAAGGAGTATCTACATGGAGATCAAACTGCAAAACAATGCATAAAAACAAATACTATGCTTGAAACTAGAGCAACAGGCCAGCATATTTTACATTGTGATTTTTATTTAATTAGTTCACAAAACCTGAAGGTGTGATGGCCACCTACCAATGCCATTGACAACTTCTTTGCCCCAGACAGCTATCAGTGCAGTCACAAAGCAAGAGACAACCACATAATGTAGTACAGGGAATAAAACAGGACAAGGTGTATAGTGAGAAGGATGTGTGCACGTTCTGATGGCCCTATTAAATACACATGAAACAACAGTTTGGATTTAACAGGGACCTTTGGATTCTGAGGAGAAAAAAATGCACTTCTTGTAGGAGGCACAGCGGCAGTTTTAAGTACGATGGGAAGAGAAAGCCTGTTTGTACTAACACTTCCCATTTTTCATGTTAAAAGTGTCAGGCTTTCAGAGGGCAGAGAAAATACTGTATGTGTAGATGAAGAGGGACAAGAGGCAAAACAGTGCCAGAGCCATCAAAGACATAGGACCATGTAAGTCTGGAAGAGATTTCCCAGCTCAGCAGCATGAGCACAGCAACATACAATCACTTTAAGACATTTTTCATGTGCTCAGGTGTTTGTTACTCACATGTGCATTGCTGCAAGATTTCTTTATGGCACAGGAGAGATGATCTGCATATCCAATGGCCAGCACGAAGGGTAACTAGGACAGTGGCTTGAGCAAAAAGCCAAGACAGGAGCAGAGGAAAGGCCACAGGGCAAGGAGTGAAAGCTAGACAGGATTGGGCTTGTACACTATGTAGGCGACCCTCATATCTGGGTAGTTACATAGCTCCTTCCTGACAGTAGGCAAATGTTTTGCAGTACCATTTCTTTTCCTTCAAAAAGGAGCCTTTACTCCTCCCTTTGGTGCGGTCTCTGCAATGTACTGGGCCGCAGAAGCAGGACCACTGGCATGTTTAATGGTGCCCTGTCCTCGGCAATGGGGAAACCAAGAACTTCAAGACTTTCTAAAAGTGTGTGTTTCTAAGGGATAAAAAGGAGTGGCTCTCTGGAGTACAAGGAGCTTTGCTTTATGAATTTGGGAAGAGGCTTATTTCTACACATAAGAACAACTGCAACAGATGACACCAAAGGTCCTTCTGAGGCCAGTATCTCATCATTGGCACTGACCAATAAGAAATGTATAGGGAAAAATAAAAAAACATGTCAACTACAATGTCTTCCTACAACAGTGTTAACTTGCAACAACTTGTGGTTCAGGGTGTCTTTATATTTAACAGTTTGCAATAGGATTTTCAGGCATGGGTCTGAACAGCTGCTTTTTAAACCCATGTAAATTTTTGGCATCAGCAACATCCTGCGATGAGGACTTCCACAACTGAAACACAGAGTAGGTCAAGAGCATCATCTTCTTATTCGCTCTGATCCTGCCTCCAGCTGGTTTTGTTCAGTGCACCCCACTTCTTGTTTGGGAAGGGACAGCAAATGCTCATTTTCTGGTCACTTATAGTTTTATAAACTTCTATCATCTCCTTCAGTCATCTCTTGTCTAGACCGAAGACCCCTAGTCTGTCCATTAATTCGGATTATCCTAGCTGCTTTTGTCAGCACTTTATCTGGTTCTGCTGTATTCTTTTGCTTTATAAAAATGGTCTTGACTCTTGTCACTGTGTCATTTTAAACCTGAGTTTACATATTCAAATCCTTCAAAAAAAAAAGTTCCTGTTCACTTGCCCAGAACAGATATTCTGGTTGCTTGGTGCAATTCCGAGACCTCCCTGCCAATCTTTTTTTAGAACTGGTGGCATATTAGCTGTCTTCTGCCCTCCTGCTATTTTGGTGGTTTTGAACAAGAGGTAATACAAGAACAGTCATTCAACTAAAGGAAAATAGGTAAGGTGGGCTTTAAAGGACAATACAGCAATTTCTGCTAGGAAATTCCTGATTCTAATGGATCTTCTGCAGACTGAAAGGAATCTTTAATTTTTCAGATTCTGAGGAAGAGAATGAGAAAGTTATTCCCCTTTCCCCATCTATCCCCCTCCTGGCTGTTTTCTCGTGGGGCAACAGCTGTTACGTCCTGTGTTTCACTACCCCAATTCTGGCGATGTGAATCAGATGGTAGAGGTGTAGCAAAATCACTGAAGGAAAATACTTCCACATGGTCAGATTTTCTTTTGTTCAAGCCAGCGTCTGTGCAGACACCAAGGGAAAAATTCATCAAGATCTACATGTGTTTCCAGTTGTGCCAGAACATCTTATTACTCAACACCTGGCTAAAACAGCAGCTGACTATGGCCTGGTTCCTGTCCACACCTATAACAAACTGATGAGATTACAGCATCCTGGTGGACAGTCCACAGATTAACTCATCTTTGGGAGCAGTTTTCACCACCTGAACTGTTCTGGGACCTCCTCCAAGTTCTGCAATGGGAATGTTGGCTTCCCAGGTAAAAAGAAGCCCTTCTCCACAATGTCTCCCCTGGACAGGGAATGAGATACCGGTGTTGCTCAGCACCATGTTCACTCACTCCATGGTAAACTGAATTGCCACTCATTGCTCCTGCAGTGCTGCCAGTTGGATCTAAAGGGACTGCTGACCTGAGGAGTATCAGCCCCACCACCCACACTTGCAGTGACTACATACTGACCCATCAGGACGGGGGGCCAGGGGTTCACCGAGAAATCCCTGGGCCTAGAGAGAGGGCAATGCCAGACTGGAAGCGGGAATGGAGGTTGCACTGGAGACGAAAGCCAAGGCAGGTCCAGAGCAAAGCAGAGGAACAAAGCCAAGCTAGAACAAGATGGGATGACCCACGTGCAGCAAAAGCCAAGAAGCTCTGAGAAGGCATTCTACTACAGCCAGGATCAGTTGAAGCCCTCCAAAGGAGGCTTTGCTTCGAGAAGTCCAGAAAATGCTCTGCCATGGATGAGTAAAGACTGTTGCCCCTTCCCACTCTCTGGGAGTGGAGCTGCAGGTGAGGCTTGCAGTCACTCTTATTTTGCCAAGCAGCCAGATATGAGCAGTGCCAGCATCAGAATCCCCTCTCCAGTTCACACTGAGCTTCTGTGCTGGCATGTGTCCTGGTCCCACACAGAAGGGCATGTTGCATTTCTCAGTGTGCAGGAATTGGTTTTCCAAGCCCTGGACAGGTTTGGCAAGCCACTGAGGCTGCCTATCATGTTCTGCTACTCCCTCAGCTGTTTGTTACCATACCTGCAGCTGCACTGGCAGAGCAGTAATTGTGTGTCCTCTCTCATCCACTTCCAGCAAAGTACCACCAGTTTAGTTAGAGAAGTAAGGCCGCAGGCAGGCACTTTCTTCCAAATTCAGCTGAAGAGATTTTGGCCTTCAGATATCCATCTCCCATCCACTCCCCAAGCCAGGTTAGCACTCCACAGTCCCACTGTTGGAGTGGTTTGAGATGGCTCTAAATCACAGCAAACAAACAGAGCATCTACTCAAACTGCTCAGCCTAATTCAGACTTGTGAGTGAACACAGTATCTTAGAATAAAGTGGCAGAGTTGAGGATAAAAATCATCTTATTTTTCAGGTACACAACCCTTTCTTCATGCCTAAAACAAAAAGAGCAATTTTCAAAGGCAACTACAATGAAAGACCAAAACGTTCAGAGTTCAGTCCATCACAGAATGGACCAAATATGTGTGACCTAGCCACTGTGTTTCACCTGAAGTAAAATAAGGAGCACTCTCATCAAGAAACTTCTTGGCACTGCACAGAGCTTTCCTTCAATGTGATGTTGAGCAGCTGCTGGTGGTAGCACGCGGTACAGCTGGAACTGGCAAGGCTGCCTAGTCATACCCTTATTCTCCTTTTTCTACTCTATCCATTTGACCTGCTAAGATAAAGCTATTTAGAGATACAGTGGGTTAAGAATGGAGTGTCCAGGGAAGGAGGGGAAGAAACTAAAGGTTTTAATTAAGGAAGACAATACTCTTACGCAGGATACCAGAAAATTCAGCACTAAGTTATAAACTGTTTTGGTCCAATACAGAACACATATAACTCCTTATGACACATACCTCATTGCAGCTGACTGAACTACAACATGCCTGAATGTGGTCACAGTGCAGACAACAAACAGAAAAGAGTTCCGTCATCTTTAATACACAGGCAAAGCCTGGAGAGACCACAATTCCCTGTCTCAATATAACTGGGTATGTTGCCACAGAGATATGTTCATATTAGAGACAAAAAACAGCTGCAGGTGTCTCTAGAGCACTGCTGGCCATATTTATCTTGTGGTTTACACTTGGCCAACTCTGATTTAAAAATCAAAGCAGGTAAATTTTTCCCCCACTCTAGTACCAAGTAACAGATTTACTGAATTGAGCCCTTACTGGCAACCCAACGGATGTGAAAAGAAGGTACTCTTTTAAAAAAAAACAGAACAGACAAATACATAAGACACAGCCCCCCAGGTTCCTCAGTACATTGGGGCATACATGCTTGCAACATGAACTTCATAAAGCTGTATTTTATACAGCTGCATTTTAAAAACCGCTGAAGAGGTGATACTCCTAGCTGGCCTCCAGGATTCAGTTCAGCAGATTTGCAGTTACACAGTCGCACAGATTTCTCTTTTCCACCTGAAGAAGCAGAGTTTCTGTCTGTAAGAGTGGGGAACAAAAGCAACATCAAAAAAACAAGTGTCAGCACTGTAAAACTAATTAGCTCCAAAAGAAAAGTCCATTTTACTTTTGTTCTAAGATTTAGAATTGGTTGTGTGAAATGAGGCTTGAGGTAAAAATCAGAGCTATTGCTTACTGCTCTGCAAAATAATTTAGCTATTGCATGATTAACTGGCATACCAACATGGCAATACTTCCTGTGACATGGAGAAATTCAGTCCAGTAGACATTCATGTTTTTCACATTAGTACATTCAGTATGTGTCTGGGTCCTGTTATTTTTGTTTAAAGTTATTTGTCTTTCTTACAATCTTACTTCAACTGCACAAACTAGAGCATAAGCTCTCAAGTTCATGAGAGGCTTAAACCCCCCCCAAATGTGTCAGAAATTTTCTTTTTACTTAAAAACAGAGTAAAAAAATTAAATTAAATTTAGAGTATTACAGCATGGACTCACTGTTGAAAGTTATACAAAGTAAGGCATAATTTAATCATAGAATCACAGAATATCTCAAGTTGGAAGGGACCCGTAAGGATCATCAAGTCCAACTCCCTGCTCCTTGCAGGACTACCTAAAACTAAACCATATGACTAAAAGCATCATCCAGATGCTCCTTGAACTCTGACAGGCTTGGTGCCGTGACCACTTCCCTGGGGAGCCTGTTCCCATGACCGACCACCCCTCTCAGTGAAGAAATTTACTTCTCTTTTAACTTCTCCTGCTTCACTGTTGTTATTGTTAATATGCTGTTGGAGCCTAAAATAGACAATAGGTGCTGAGCTGGCATACGGCCATCACAGTTCAAACATGTGATGAGATTGCTGGCTTCTTTAAGGAAAGGAGTCCCAAACTGGTGAAAGCAGAGGTCCCCCAGTTGAACTGGGGTTCATCGATATCAGGAGATCATTGCTGCCCACAGGGATTTTCTGGAGCAACGAGGGTGAATTGAGAACTTCTCAGAACTGGAGCTGGGCATGATCAGAAAGGCGTGTACCCTCTCAGCCCACCTGTGTGAGAAGAGGCTGAGGACCAGGGAAGGGACAGCAGGGCTGCATAAGGGAAATTTGGGAATCCTTCCTCTCTAGCACACACACTTTGGTTTTCCCAGCTGTTTGGAGCACTTGTGGCTTCAGCAGATGCATGATGGAGCACAGAGCTGTTTGAAATCAACATCATATCTTCATCTCAGTTTGCCTACTATGAGCTGAAGCTGTATGTGAGAATCAGTCTGATCCAAGAGAGGACTTCCTCCTCACTGTCGTGGGACACACAACCTGCGGGAAGTCCACTCACCAAATTAATCCCCACTGGTGTAACCAGCTACACAAAAAAAGGGCATTATGAAGACTACCGGCTCTAAATGCCAGTGAAATCCACCCTTAATCTGCCTGTCTTGTGATTTTCGTATGAGATGGAATTGCCATGTGATTAAAGGCTGTGTTTTAAAAGCTGTGTTATCCATTGACCCACATCAGCTAAAGGCACATAGAGCAGAGCTGGGCTGAAGCATCCTGCTTACCGCCTGCCTTCTTAGTACACGAAAAGCTATCTATTATTGGTCAGGTTTTTTTCCCAGATGATAAATCACTAGACCCAGCCCTGTGGTTCTATATTAAATCAGGTATCGCTTTTGATTGTTTCAGCTACCCTGCAAAACTGGAAAGATCCGATCAGACTTTGCTAATAACCTAAAAGACACTCAATCACCACCACCTAACCATCTCCTTGACATAATTTGGAATGGTTTGAATAAGGGAGGTTGACAGCATGGCAATAGCTTTGCAGCTAAGCCCCAGGGCTGCTTACCATCTTATATATCTTTAATAACATTTTCAAGCCTTTGTTTTCACTTTCATGGGCACATCTAATTTAATGTGCTTTGAACATTCCAAATAACCATTGACAGCTTAGAAAGGAATAAAGAACAAAATGAATGGCACTAAATACAGCTTTGCTGACTGTTTTGTGAGCTTGATCACAAAACCATTTGCACAGAGATTTGTTATTATCCCCTGGTGGGTTAAAGCATGTTTTAAAAAAAAAACCAGAAAACCAAGAAACCAAAAAACCCAAGCAAGGCAGGGTCCAGATTCTGAACCTACAAAAAAGCTGGTAAGTTCCAACTAAAAATGCAGTTCCTGAGCTCTTTAAAGTTGTAATGTAATGTCCACTAGTTAACTCTGAAAAATGAGTTGGAATTTTGAAAATAAGTGTCTATAGTGCAGACTTACAGTGAACTGTTTAGCCCATGGACTGGATTTGTTTTACAGGATTTGTTTTATGGCCTGCTCCCTGCTGGCCTCTGTCTTGAGCAGCTTTTAGATGCAGTAGGGAGCTGGCTGTAAACTGGCTGAATGGTTTTGATGGTAGCAGCTCCTTCCCAGCAGTACAAGAACTCTCTCCCTAGTTCATGATCAGAGCTGCACCTGCCACATACTGCACGTTGGCTGAGTGGTGAATCACAGATATCCCCAGAAAAGATTGCCCGGAGTTGGTTACTGCTGTTAAAACAACTAATCCAGCCTGCAGCCTGCTCCAAGGGGCCAGCAGCAACGAAAGGGTGGAAAACAGTATGCAGGGGGGCAAACAGATCTGATACGTGCATGGGTAGTAGCCAGCCTCTTAGAGATGGTCTGTGACCCTTCTCTTACTGCATGAGTAAAATGCAGCCAGCCTGTCAATCAGTAAGTGATCATCACATCAGTGTAGGTTACAAACATGTCTAGCCTTGTAAAAGGAAGGAAATACAGCCCATGGTCCCCATAAAAGGTTATGTGACCTATGCTAGAGTCAGTTCACTCTGTGAGACACCATGCAGATCAACACAGGGCCAAATTAAGTGTGAAAACTCTTTGAGTTGTGCAATAAAACTATATGGTTTCCCCTGTACAGAACTGCAGGGTGAGATTTGCAGGAGGAATTAAATGGGAATTTCCTCTCTGAGCTTTTGGGAATCCCTCCCCCTCCAACACAGTTAGGAGCTGCTTAGTCATCATCTAAAAATCTTGCCTGCAAACAAAAGAGAGTTTTTCAAGGAAATGAGTGTCTCCAGTGGGAATATTAACAAAGGGAATTGTATTTTTGGAGACAGAAACATTTGCCCCGCTAAGCAGCAAAACAGACTAAAATAGTCAAATGTAAAATATATATGTAGCTGAAAGCAATTGTCTTAAAACTCCCAGTTTCCATCAAATTGGGCCACAGCTGAATAATAAAACTAGGAATTGAAACACCATAGAAGACAGTTCCAAGAAGTCCTCAACTATTAAATATTTCCATGTCTTTTGAAGATGTAGGCAGAATTCCTAGCTTAATGACTGAAATAGGCCTGTCCTAGTCCAGAGGCACTGAAGGATCTCAATATGGATTCAATTATTTAGATTTTAAAGTGATAAGGAAGTGATAGGTTTGTTTTGGTAAGAGTATATGATGGAGCCATATTTTCAGGCTTGCTGTCAAGTCTACAGCTCTGAAAGTCAATAATAGGACATTCCTCTCAACCTGTGGCGGTGCAGCTCCCTGGGGCCACTCTGAGATCTCAGGATAAGCTATGCATACTTTGGGAAAACCTCCCATTGTGCTGTTATCTTAATTACAAGTGCAGAGGCTTATGGGCACCAGGCACCCCCTGGCCACACCTGGACCATCCGCTGCCTGAATTGTGTATCCCAATGACTCGGCATGAATTGTGGCCAGAATGTAAAATAATGACCAAAGCCAATCATCTCGAGACCCTACAAATAGCGATCCAAGGAGATGTCTTTTGGGCTCTCCGGGACTGCAGCAGGCTGTGTGACCCAATATCTCCCCCTGAGCTGGGATGCCTCTCAGGGTAGATTTCATGAGGATTAAAAGATTGTCCATCAAAGATTTCACGAGGACTTAAGGGCCTGATTTCATGAGGTTTACTGACTGTCCGTTGATGAATGCTGGCACATAAAAGTGAGTAATTCATTAAACTCATGAAAGGGAAATTTTAATCATAGGTTAACCTCTGTGTGTTTCTTGCGGGGGGGCATAAAATTTGGTTCAGAACTCTTGTATCTGTGCATGTGTGCATTTGCAGTTTGGTTCGGAACTATTTGCCTGTCTCTGTGTGATTTTGTTTGGAACTATTTTGTCTGTATGTGTGGTTCAGAACCGTTTTATCTGTCTGTCTGTGCGTGTGATTTGATTTAACCTCCATCTGTGTGTGCAACCCTGCTGTAAGTTTTGGGTGATCCTTGCCATTTTCTAATCTTTAACTAAGTCGCAAATTTGATTGTAACAAATTCCATCGAATCACTCTGTTAAATTGGCTGATGATTAAGTACTGTTAAAATTATACAACCTAATCTTGTGATCTATCTCAAAAATATTAATAAATCCTAAATTGCTGCTAAACCAAAGCCGTGAAACAAAATCTCATTTGTGACACAACCAAACCTTTTTTGTTTGCTCATTTCCTCTCCTTGGTTGTCTGTTATTTTTATTTTTGAAAAAGTATTAAAATATAGTTGCTATCTTTGAGGCTCTTATTGCTACTCCTGCTTTGGATATCTGCATTTTATAAAGCTCCTCTCTTGGTCTGCAAGCTGTAGGAGTCATAAAGGTCACTGCCATAGCCAGACAACCCAAGAAGATTTTAGTAGTTGAGATATTTTTGAATAAAGATTTAGAAATTCTGGCAAAAAGTTCAAAGGTTTGTAAAAGAAGAAAAAGGTGTGCTAGAACCACTCTACAGCACAATCTGACCATTTTGTTTGGGCTGTATACAGTGCTCAGCAGATGTATTCATTAACGAGATTTCTTCATGAAGAAGCCCAAAATACATTTGACCTGTAATTATTGAACAGATTTTGTTTAATTGTAAATGTGCTACATAGCAATCTGGTTCTGCTGGAATGCTTGTTTTTTGTAGTATGTCACAATTCAAGGCACCTTCATTCCTGCACCTGCATTTTCACCTAAACATCATGGACCCTGCTCAGCGTTACTTCAAAACGTTCTTCAAAGATGCCAGGTCGCAGGCTTTGAACTGTGAACAACCTTGACCACAGATCAGAAAAGCAAAAAAGTTTGAGTGCCTTCTGTTCAAAAATCTGTGCAAGAATGTAGATATAGCACTTCAGCTAAAGGGTACGCAGGAGGTGGGGAAAAAGCTACCCTCCTGAGACACCGCTATCTGACAGCAGCTGGGATACAGCTAGTCACAGATTGCAGGTTGCAGTAGCAAGAGACAGATTCAACTTCCCTCACAGAAGGAAGATACCAACCTTGGCAAATTCTCCACACTGACTGCAAGCCAAACAAGTTTCATTCCCTATGCTGCTCTACTTTGTGGCATTTTTTATCATTATGGAATCAGAGCAATGTAAAAAGTATCTACAGGATGATGTTTCCTCCCTTAGCCCCTCACCAGGGGTAAAAGCATGTGCAGGGGAGTATTTTATTTTGGCAGGCTTTTTTTTTTTTTTTGAGGTGGCTCTCTCCTTTTGGGGGAATAAATATAAATGATGCTCTCACCTTTACTCCCCCTAACATAAAAACAAAGGTGTGTGCTCAGTATTTGGAATAAGATGAGAATAGCAGTGCTAATGGCGGTAACTCTGCAAGAGGATAGAGGGCTGAGGATTGTCAGTTCACTCCTTCCTAAACTTCCTAGTGTCCCTGATACCCCAAGGCAGAAGAATTCCACAGATTATTGAATAGAGAGGTGGAATGTAATTACCCAGCCTCACCTTAGAAGATAGGACAGTACAGTTGACTGAGTGTCTTGTGCAAAATCCATCCACCTTATCTACTTTTATCCACAGCATTTTCTTCCACATTAAAAGAAAAAAAGAAATTGAATGTTTCCTTACCCGTGTGTCTAGATTATATGCTGTCTTCTTTAAATCCTGCAGAGCCCTCTGCATGAACTCAAATGCATGGCAATCAACACAGGGACGACCTAGGGGAGCATTTAGTAGAGAATCATGACTATATGGCATGTAGTATTAAGCAGAAGGAATAAACAGTGATTTTGAGTATGAGGAAGAGCTACAGAAAAGAGTCCACAGAGTGAGTACTGATGTATGTACTCTTGAACAATCCAGGTTATTGTAAACGGTCCATCATGATGGTCTACCCAGTCTCTCAATGCCAAAAGAATTACTTCAACAAATTTTCATTAAAATTTTCTTCCTCCTTTATTGCTGTTCCCCTCGTCCTTCTCTTGTCACAGTTCATAGTGTGGAAACATTGAACCCATAACTTGAGTCTTTAATCTTCCTCCACCAATCCTGAGCACATTTCCAACCTCATCTTCAGATTTTCCAGGCTTTTCAGAAATTACCTCTGAAACCATGAACCTGTTCCCTGGAAAATCTTGCCTCCTAATCTCACAAACTTGAGCTCTAAATAGAAAGCTAATGGAATAAAATTGACTACAATATCACAAAGACAGATCACTTACTTAGCCTCTAACTTTGAATATGATACAGCTTTGTCCAAAGCTAGTGAAGCAAGTAGCAGATAAACACAATGCCCTGTTATTAGTGGGCATTGCTGATAAGCAGAACTGCTGCATTCTGGACTAATTGCAGTGTTTAAGATTAGTATTCCCATATCTAGATATCCAGACTGAAGGTCACAAGGCTTGCTTTGCCTTGATCATCATGTAACACAAAGCTGTGCTCTAACAGATAGCAGTACTGAGACAGAACAAATATAGACATGATGAAATGTCTTTGAATCATCAGGCTCTACATATGCTCTTATTTGCTTCTCAGTGCCTGTGCCTCTCTGACAACTTCATAGGAAATACTGCACAAGTGAGAAATTCTGAGCGCAGGTTTAGTTTGCTCTTTGAGGTCTGGTAAGGAAGAAAGGATGAAACCTAGAGTGATGTTGGAAAATCCTGCAGTGTCTGTCAGCCTATTTTGCAAACACTTGATATTTGACTGATTACTACCTCCCTCTGATAAGCTGGAGTATGAGCTTCCAGCTCATGATCTGTGTGCTAACCAGCAAACAGGAATCCTGCCTGCTGGAGAAAAGGAGTCTGCCAAATTCTTTAACTGGCTAAGAAAAAAAAAAAAAAAGAGATAAAAAATAAACATTGAGCAGTATTAAAGGCTTCCTCTCTCATTGTTGTACCACCACCCAACCTTAGTGTTATTATATTTGCACCAGACAAAAGGAGAGGACAGCATTTTCCACATCAAAAACTTCATGCAAGGACAGATCTGTCATTATGTTTATGACGTAAAATAAACTCAACACAGAGCAGCAAGGGAGAATTAGGTGGTTGAAGGCTGCAAGACTATGTGTTGACAAAGTGTGCTTTCTTGGCATCTTCATTGAGAGTTTTTTTAATAAAAACTACTGACTCTAATACAGTAGACATTACCAAGAATGAAAGATGTAACAAACAGTCAATGTCAGTTGAAAAAAGCAAGTCTCAATAATGTCTCTGAAAAGCAGACAGGGTGATTCCTGGCATAGAAAGGGCTAACACAATGAAAGGGCTGTACAAAAGAAAAGGTGCAGAACAGTGCCAGATTTTGGGTACAAACAAGACAGCAACAGGCAGGAGACAAGGGGAAGAGAATGGAGAGCCTTGGATGCAGGAGAAAAACAGCACTGGTATGCTATCAAGTAGTGGTTTTAAAACAACATAAGCAAGATATGTCCAAAATAGTTTGAATTATTTGGACAAGCTTCAGTGATGTGAAACCCTGCAACATTAAAACTACAGTACTATCTGTATGGGTGGTACGTACTTTCAGCTGGTATGGCTGTTCCCGCTTCTTGGTCAGATCTAACAGGCTCTGCAAGAAGCAGTGCAACGACAAAAACTAAAGGAACTGTAAGGACCGCTCTTCTCAGAAGGTGGGGTGCCAGCATCTTGGGAACGGGTGCTTCTCTGTTTACCAAGAGACATAAACAAGTTAGTGAGGAACATTACAGGTACAAGGGGGTTGTTACAAAGAACTTAAACGTTCCTGATGGCTAAAGCAGGACAACGTTCTGTCCCTTCCTGATTTTAAGTTGGTGCATGCTAAGCAAAAGATGTTGCGTAAGAACATCAAATCTGCATGTACTGAATGCAAGAGTACAGCATTCCTCAAAACAGCTTGTATTTTACATTTGGAAGGGCAATAGAGGGAGGCAGGAAAGGTTTTTCCCTATCTTCCACAAACACAGAACAGAACAAGCTTGCTCTTTGATATATGCAATCCACCGCTTCAAACACAGCTAATCTGAAGCTGCAAATTCTGCATGAACACTTGCAGCACGTGCAAACCAGCAATTCATCCTGGAAAGGAGCAGCGTTATACACATCCCCTTCCTGTGCACCTCAACCTAAACATTAGAGTAGGGGACAGTTCAGAAGCAAGACATACACATATACATGTAGAGTCACAGATATATTTGGGCCCACACCAAAAAAAGATCTTGTCATGTAATTCCTATAACCTCAGAACTGGATTTCCTATCCCTCCCACTATTTAGAAGTGATCTGATGTGATCCTTTTTCTTATTTCTACAATCCTTACAATAAAGGGATTAAAATCGTAACAGGAGGCTTGGGTTTTCTCTTTTAATTAATGGTGATCTGCAATCAGAGCAAGTACAAAGACACCAGGCTTTGCAACAGGATGCAGCAGAATGTCTGCAAGTAACAGTAAATTAGGATAATACCAGCCTCCTTTGAAAGTGCCTAACACAGGGGCCTCCTGGTCAGCAGGAGCAGAGGCTATCCTCACAGTTGACTACAAGTGCTACAAAGGTTCAACAAAATAAAGCAGATACGCTGTTAAACTTTTTCAGGGTACCTTACTCATCACCCACCCCAGCGTCAGCTCAGCTTCGTATGTGAGCCTCGCTGCAAAACAACTGCTCCCGGAGTGCAGCAATCACCTCAGATCACATCTAACTACTGCCTCTTAGTTATTCTGTGGGAATTTGCTATCTGCGAGAAATAATCATGACAGGCTTCAAGGGTGGTCTCTCTCTGCAGTGCAACTGGGAACGGAGACAGATCTGTGCATGGACTTCTGTGAAAGAGAAAAGTCACCCCCTCTAACAAAGGAAAAAAATATCAGTACCTGATCTCTCTCTTGTCTTTGTGATGGTCTCTTTGAAATGGCCGCTGCAAACTGCTAACAGAACAAGTGCAGCATTTCTGAGCATGTGCACTGTCTCTTTTTAACCTTCTCTGAAAGAGGTTATTACTATGGGGAGATTTCTGCCATGGCAACAATGCAGAGCACTGCAGCACACAGCACAGATTTAAAGAGGAACAGGCTGTGTCTCGTGGGTCTGGGGAAGGATTTTTCTGCTTTGACATGCGAGTTCCAGCAGTGACTTACCTGCTCTGTGCAAGGTTTTTAAAGCCAGGCCATTTGATTCATCTCTCTTGAAGTCTGCTGAATGGTTTTCCCGAAGTCTGCTCAGGTGGATGTGGTGCCTGATTCAAGCAACTTGCTTCCCTAGCGCCTGAAAATAACCATGACAAATTACACCTGCTTTATGAGAAACCAGGAAAAAACATGGGATCACACTCAGGAACCGCAGGACGTGTCACAGGTGAGACTTTGGTGAAGGCCAGGAATTGTTCAGCCCACAGTGTGGCATTTGAACGGTTCTGAGTTACAGGGTTCATACCCACTCATGCCTGCTTTCCTACGCGTTTCTGTGATCCCAGTCTCAGGACTGCCAGGAACACCTGCAGGAGCGCAGGCACTTAAACTCTGAGTGGGAACTTCAGTCCGAACTGAGAGTAAACTTCACGCCCTTTCCCAGCCTGTACCTCTGTTCCCCTTTCAGTGTCCCACAAGCCATACTCCAGAACAACACTGATGGCACTTGTGCTGAATGCAATACAATAATGGAGCACAGATGATAAAAGTGCTTTTGTCAAAGCAAAGCTAAGTTCAGGGGTCGCATTTCCCCCCCAAAACACATTGCCCATCACAAATTAGACACTAGCAGTTCTTGTTCCAGAGAGAGTGAGCATAGCTGAGGGCCGGCACAGAGCTGAGAAGCACGCACAGAACTTTACGTGGAAGGTGCTCTGTGTTTGCCTTAGCTGGTTCAATAGGGACTCAACCTTAAATGCTTTCATGGTGAAGGTTGGGGCACTCAGTGTCCAGGAAGGTCAGGCACACAACCTTTTATTTTTTTCATGAGCAGAAACTCCTTCTCAGAATTATGACTAAATTGCTGGCTAACATTTTTCTTTTCAACATGCTCTACAACCTGTGTCTACTGTGCAGCCCTAGGGGAATGGTTTGCTCCCATTAGTTCATCTTTTTAAGTAAGATGCTAAGATTTCAAGGTTGTTCAGTGTGTAACTATGATGCTATATGAAGTTACAGCATCCACGAGCAGAGTCAAGAGGGGATTAATTATAGTACTGCCATCTTTATGCATCACAAAAACAGAAAGAAGGGGAAAATAATTTTTAGAGACTGTTCTTTTGGGCACAAAAGATTTAGCATTTCTTGCAGAGATAACCATACAGGATTTCATCTGATTAAGTATCTGTCTATACACAAATTACAAATGCAGAACTTTATTCATGATCATTCTCAGCCATCTAATCTCACACCTTGGCCTCTCTTCATGATAAATAACATAGATATTCACATATGTATATGCGCGCACACACACACACACACATATATCTAATATATGCCTTTTCTTAACCTGTGCTCTTGATCATTCCCAGTAAATCTTACCCTGTTCTCCCGAACCCTGTCCTTTTTCTATCAAAACAGGGACACCAAGCAGCCAGCCCTGGTAGCTTGGGTGTTATCACTGATTCATTCTTCTAGACCCATACAATGGGCTTCTGACTCCACAAAATACAATTTTAAGAATCTGTTTCTGCCATTCTCAGCTGGCAAATTCCTTGCTCTAACCACCTCATACCAGCTACTGTGACCTCCCTTGTTTAGCCTTGCCCTGAATCTACTTGTCCTGCAAGGAACAACTTCCTTTTTAGTGTTTTAGCCACATTTTCTCTTTATTCACTTCTCCTCACTCTGTACTTTGTTAAGCACCAGCTTTTCTCTTCACTGAAGCTAATATTTTCTCAACTGGAAAGTATCAGTTCACCAAGGAGGATACTTTCCACAGAGGAGGTAGACACCCCATTTTAGGATTTTTTTTATTTGAAAAATGTTTTGAAAAAAATTATTTTGACAATTTTCAAATTGATAATTTCTGGCTTTCTGCTTCAAAATTATTTCCTTTTTAAACCTAAGCTTAACAGAGTAAAAATACACTTCATACTCAGTTCACGGAATTGCAGAGTGGGAGCAGCTCTTATCTTAAGGGTATCAGGGTGCATCCCCACCAGAACATTACAACCTCAATAAAATCTTTCTTACTGTTATTTCCTTTATGTATGAAGTGTGGGTGGTACAGATGCTAGCCCTAGGGCACCCCAGAACTGGAAGTAGAGACCAGAACTGGGACTACACAGCACATGTACAATAGCCCTCAGCGGCGATTTCACTGGCGTGCCCAAAGTTGCAGTGGTGGTCATGCAGCACCTCGGGCTGAGTGTGAATAGTGACATTTGGGTGAAAGCTGGAATGTCCTGACTCCCCAGCTGCCTGGTGGGATCATTCATGAGATAAGCACAGAGAATTTATAGTTTCTTTTTATGATGGAGTCGAACACAATGGATTTTTTTTCCAAGATCCCCACCAGCTAAAAAACATCAAAGCACTGTTTCTGAGATTTCAATTTTTCATCTTGATAGCACATGTTTTGATACTATAAATATTTCTGTGGGATTGGGAGAAAAGCTCAAGCCTTTACCTCTAAGCCTCTTCACTGCTTGGTCTCTCCTTGGCTCTTAAATCTAATACTTTGTCACAGCAGAAAACTTTCTTTCCTCACTAAAGATAACAGATTCTGTCACATCTCCTGCAGACACTTTTATGCTTTCTCACAGCCTGCCCTCTAAATCATGGTAAAAATCTCCCCACAAGGTACCATCTTGTCTTCCATCAAATCCTCTTTTAAGATTTACCTCTGCCACGAATCCTACAAAGCACTGCTGCCTGGCAGAAGCTGGAGAGGAAGCTGGCTGTGACTGCTGATGGTATGCAAATGTGCTCGTTATACCAATATCTCACTGCCTCACACTTCTCGCTGAGTCCCCCCTTGTCATCCTGCTGTAATCCTGAGCTGCGATAGCTTCAGGGCAGGGGCTGTGTTTGCACTTGTTGGCGCAGCACCACGAGGCTGGAGTGTTGATTGAGGCCTTCAGGCATATGTGATGAATAATAATGCCAAACTACCTAAAGCTGATCACATTATCCCACACTCTGATATATGAGCTATTCATAGAGCAAGCCTCTTATTCTTTTCCTTCCAATTTAAAGGTCTTGGGAAGTGTCAGAGTGACCAGATTAAGAAATGAAGCCCTCCTTTGTTCCCTGAACAGGTCTTGTGTATTTTGGTAGTAGCGAATAATTGAAATTGTTCCTCCTTCCATTTTCTCCACCAGTAATTTTAGGAATAATTTCCTTGTCAGTAACTCTGATTCCTGCAGTCCCTATCTGTCAGAGTATGGCTCATCTGAAATCATTCTAGGCCCCAAAAGTCTTGAGTTTCAGTGCAACGCTAAGGCTGGGCTCATGTCCAAGTCTGAAGTTTCCACACAGCTCTTAGGGACACCTGCATTGTCAGAACTACTTACTGCTTTTTGGATGAGATGCTAAACTGAGGTCAAATCTTTCAGCATCTCTCTTGATTTTGAGTTGAGAAGCATTTAAAAATCCCATGGCAATATTCAGGAAGGGCTAGCACTAGCTGAGCTATCCTTGGCTTGCACTGCCCCTATCCACCCTCCTGGACACACATCTTTGGGGAAATAAGCTGTGTTCCAAGCTGTGCTTGAGCTATTTCTAGGTACATAATAGTTGCAACTTTAACTAGTTTGCTAAGTCCACAGGGATGTCTTACGTACTTTGCAGCAACTATACTAATATGCACGCATATGAATGGGCGTTGAGCTGGAGGGGAACAAACTGCTATCTTTACAAGCTTCCCATTCTAGAATCAGACTTCAGAGTCCAGGGGCCTCTTCTAACATGGGTGGCCTAGAAAAGAGAACTCTCAGCTGAGCAGCAGTGCACCATTAGCCAGTTTCCTTGCAAAGACTGCCTTGAAAACTAGCAACTGAGGAAAATAAAGGAAACAAGCTAAAATTAGAAGCTTATCAATGACCCTTCTACCCCCAGCAGATGTTTATTATCCAAAGTCTGCATAAAGACTCTCAAACTTCAGAATCCAGAAGAGCCATTGTCAGGGAGCTCCAGATCCATTCCTTGCTCTAGGAATCAACTGCTTTGCAGTCAGTTACCTGAGACTGATCCAGGGTGACTTTTATGACAGCAATACTTGGATCTCATTGATGATCAATAATTCTGACATTAATATCTCTACGATTTAATGAATTAAAGATGGATGTACCTTCACACATCTATGTTTGAAAACAGTGTCTTTCACCTGAGTTTGTGTTTACAAGATATTTGCAAGCTGACAGATGCAGCTTCTCCTTTTTACAATTTTCTTCTCCCTTCTACAATGACAGTGCTACAGAATGTAAGCTGGTTAGTGCAGTACTATCCTGATGTTGCACTAACTGTGACTGCACAGTTTCCAGCTAGGAGTTTACTTTTGTCTGCCTTCAAAATACCCTGTGAATGAATTCCTCATTTGTGACCCAGGTATGTTTTTAGACACTAGCCAGTGACAAATGAGCAATTAGTGTTCCTTAAGTATCATTAGAGTGGTCACAATCTTGGCTGAGATGCTAGAAAACAGACCAGAACCACCCCTGCTAAAAGCATGGCTAGTTACCGCATAAATGACTGAGTCAAGTATCAGTGATAAGAGCTGGGACAGACTCCCATGGTCAGGAGGTCTAGAACTCAATCTAGGCAGGGATCAAGTTCTAACACACACTCATTGACAGATTACACTCCCTGAGTCCTCAAGCTCACCTGGTTATCATTCTAGAAGGGAGACACAGTGACCACAAGGGCAGAATGGGTTATTTGTTCCTTGGAGAACTTTTTCTAACTGTTGGCAAAAAAAAAAAAAAAAAGTGGGTCTACAACCCTCAAAACAACAGATTGGGTTCTTCTTCTGAAAGA